TAGGGGAGGTCTCGAAATCTCCTGCCTCAGCCATCGACGACTATTTTGTCATTGATTATGTCACACTAATCCTCCATGATATCAGCTGATGCGACGCCGTGATGCCGGTGCCGGTGCTCATTGCAAACATCAGCGTACACTGAACAACACAGCGGAACTAGAAGATTTGTTTATTGACCGACCGGGAGCCGCAATCTCTATCTAGGAGGAATATTCACCCCTCGAACTTTACGTAGTGAGGCTTAGCCCAATCTATCGGTTAGGGAGATTCGCGCACCGACTCACCTCTTGAGTAGGATGGCCCGCAACATGCTGGAAGGAATTCGGCAGGAACTCTCTAATATCGAGTTGAGTTAGCCAGGTCGGCTGGGAGAACCCTCCTTGTTCAAAAGGACGCCACTCTGGAGTCGGATTGAGCACAATGAAGTATCTGTTCACGGGGCTTCGAAATTCGAACTAGCCCAATGTCATAGTCAGAGTTCGGGGAGGAGCACGCGGTAAAACATTATCCGACGGAGCTCCGTGCTTCCGAGATTTAGGAGCCAGACCTTCCATCGCCGATCGCTCAAACCGCTCTAGCGCATGTTCCACCGATTTTCTATCGGAGCTCTCGAACTCTCGAGGCCATGACGGAGGGTTGCGGGACTTGGTGCTCATTGTGGTAGAATTTCCTTTTGCAGAGATCGCCCCTCCACTGGGACTAAGTCGATTGCAATCGTAAGAGAATCATCTGCCTATAAAGACCTTCATTGAGTTTGGAGCCGGGGCTATGATGGAAGATGATCGACTAATGACGCGAATTCGAAAGGATAGACTCCATCCCGGAGCAGCGGATCCCGTCACTTCCGAGAATCCTTTAAGCGCGAGAATGATTGCGGCGAAATTCGGTCAGTGAAGAGTCCCTTCCTGGGTTTGGTCACCCACCGGGATTTACTTCCGGATATATTTGGATAATATCATAAGTCCTGAGCTGGGAATAGAAAGCGTGGGATCTGTCCATCGCGGCTCTCTGGCGAGGCTTTTCCGCCGGTGGAATGTCAAGCTTTCCTTAGCGGAAGAGAGAACGCTCTCCCGTGGGGCTACCTGCGTTTGTCCACGATTCAAGCCCGGAGCCGCTTTATGATTTGTGGGTGGTCAGGAAGCGCGGAATCGGGCTGTTTACCAGAGTATGCACCCCGGGAAAATGCGGCCAAGACCATAGGTGGCAAAGTCGAAACAAGTGAACGGCCGCAAGCATCCCCCTTCCCCTGAGAACTTGGAACCCTCGTAAGAACGGCAGACTCTTTGTCTGCCATTTTTCCAGGGACCCGTTGACTTGTCCATTACTTCAGCTAGGCATGTCCTTATCGGAATCTTCCACTGCCTGATAATCCTTAGTTCGTCTTCACAGTAGAGTCAAGCCCGTGCTCGGTCGATCGGAATGACAGCCGAATTTGTTGATTTCATCGACGGGATCCCGTGAAGTCGAAGGGGGGAGCCCCGAGAGTTCCTCGGGGCCGGACCGGACTAAACCGATCAAGGAAGATGCTGCGGACCGTCATGTACGGTTCCAGCCCCCCTCAGGAGAACCTTACGCCAAGTTCAGAGCGGAGAGCCATCCACCGATTCCTGGGCGTGAAGACGGCCTCGATGATTCCACGGAAGTTTCTTGGAGAAACACCTCGATACTCGATGCAGCAAACACCTCAATGGTCTCCGGACATCCCCGGAGGGTCCGACTGATTGCGTGCCCTCAATGAATTCTCAGTCGAGTGTCGAGTGCTCCACCTCTGGTTTACGTCGGAGCATCGATTTTCCTCGAATATGTCAAGAATTTTGGCAAAGGAGAGTTTGTATTTCAAATCATTGAATTTTCCTTCTCGCCGAGAGCTTGACGGAGGACTGATCGGAAGGCGGTACACTGGAAATCGATTGGAGGTTTATGATCGATATATCTTGTGTCAATCCATCCAGCGTAGTGATGAGTTCTGGAGATTCCTCTGTTCATGAGTTCCCGGCTCATCTACTGGAGGGGGGTAGGGTCCGGGGGTGGCCCTATATGCCCCCTTTCAATCAGGACGTCAGAACTGCCTCGGGACATAGAGCACCTCGCTGCAAACTCTATTTGCCCGGTTGCTCCAGAGTCACATAGGCGGCCCAGACGTAAGGGAATGGACTATTGCTTGGCTCCGACGAAAATATGTGTGATCCCTCGAATCCAATTTTCTATTGGTTGAGCCTCCCTTCGGCCTCCAGCTTGCCCCGGCTTCCAAGGATCCCACTACGACCAGGTGCCGTCAGGAGCAGAATATAGATTTATCCGACGGAGCTCGATCGTTCCGAGCTTTAGGGTGCGCTTCAAAACAGTCTCCCTCGAACGTAGACTCCTGCTCGTCCTCTGGTTAGCCTACGACCCACAGACAGTTTTCCGCCAGGTTCGTGTTCTTGCTTCTCGAGAGTCACTCACACGGCTTACCAAACTCATTTGAGCTCACGGGCTCGGTTCCTTGCTGAACGCTCGCGTTCGCTCATCGAGGTCGGAAGCGAGCATCTGAGGAGCCCGTGCCATCCGCGATAGCTTGGGAGGACGGGCGCATGTGCTCAGGGAATTTCCCATCTCCATTTCAGGATATCCCGTAGTGCTCTCATTCTTCGTTTTGGGATAATCCACCAAGGTTCACTAGAGAGAGCGAGACATCACCGGGAGAATCATCTGCGGAACCCACATCAGAGGGATCCGGGCTTGACGTTGTGACGGACACAGAGGTTAGTGTAGAGCAGAGGTTTCAGTTTCACGGGGAACTCTTGTCGGAGAGGCCCTGTCCTCTAAGGAGGAGAATCCGCCGGTCGAGGAGACCGCTTAGATTTCGATGGAAGCTTCTCCGGGGGAGGGAGAGTCCGCCTCGAGGTTGCAGTGTGCCTCGGATGTTTTCGGTAGCTATTCATGGCGGCCGTGTGAGCCGTAATGGAATGCTCCGTGGAGGAGTGTGCGCGCGTCCCGATCATTCGAAATCTCGTCCCCAACGGGCACTGCAGCGAACGCGTTATATATTCCAAAACTCATCCACGTTGATTAGAACTCGTGAAATCGCGGATGGAGAGAATCCGGAGGGCAACAACTCAAGTTTCGGAACACCCTTCAGAGCCTCACCACGAGAAGGGGAAACGCGCGACGACAGGGAGATCATCGGTGGATGAACACCATTCGACACTTCGCAGAGCTTTGTAGGGGTTTCGTCGAGCCGCTCCACAATGTCGAGCTACGGAGAAGATGAGACCCTGAAAAAGTCCGATGGCTGTGATGGTCTACGAAACAATCTACGAAATTGTTTAAAGGTTAGGGACCCAATCGCAAACTCAAAAACTGATTTTTCCGATCTCTGATCGAAACGGCTCGGGGAGAGGGCGGTCGGCGTGAATTGGCCGAATTCGGATTCCCATCGGAAGCGTTCGGTTCCTCACCCGGGAAAAACTAGCAAGGTTTCGCTTCAGACTCGTTGGGGATCTCTAGAAGGAGGGACCTCCCAATTCTTCTAACCAGAGTTTGGCTTGCAGGACAGCGAATGCGTAAGAAATGGTGGCACAATGAAGGGTTGCCTCAGAAGTCGCGATGTACCAGAAGAATGTTTGAGCTTTTGGTCGACATTTTTCGAGTGCAAAAGATCGATGCTGGATAACAGAACTCGCTTCAGAGGGCGGAAAGGTTATTGATCGCCTTTTGAGCTCCTCGCCAATTCAGCTCCTCCCCCCAATCCATGCTGCGAAGTTATACAGATAATGCGCGCTGGAAACGAGATGGAAAGTAGGAGCCGTCTCGATCTGACACATTCTGAGCTTGACATGGAAGGGAACAATAAAGTCGTTATCTAGTGTTTGAGCTGATGGGTCCTTCATGAAATGCCTGTTGTTCAGCACGGATGCCGCGGCCAAGATAGAGGATCATTTACTCAGTTCCGAGTGGGGACGGGAAGAAACTACGACGAAACACACGGTTTCGTCTGCTCGAGCATGCACTCCGCTTCCCTTCGTCGGGAGCTTCATTCTATCCGTGATTGTGAACTCATTTGGCAAATGATGTCGGGCACTGATTGCGAGAGGACTCTCCCCGTCGGTACTCACGGTCAGACTAACAGCTTAGAGACTATTTTGGGAACTTTCGAACCACGAACCTCATATCGATGAGACTATGGGAACTCATTCTGTTCTGAATCACAACCTTGCCCGAGGGCATGTATATGAACAGATCTGAGTCTGAAGGCGTGGAATCAGGAGAACTCGTTCCACTCTGAAGATGAGCGGAGCTGACACCCACACCAGAATCGACGGGTCTATTCCATGAACAAGTGGGGCCAGGAGCATTCATAGAGGGGGAAGATGCTCGGGAGGGTTTCATCCATGAAATTTATTGATCGATAACACGTCCCGAACTCCGCATTCGCGGTCCAACCTTAGTATTTTCCAATCAAAGACCTATATTTGAGTCTAAATGTTACTAACAAGTAGATTGGAGACCCTGGTTTGCAAGTTACCACAATTGGAATAGATGGAGCCTTCTCAAAATTCATCGATCCAGCGTATTTCCCGCGGGAAGCCCCCACTCACCCCAGGTACCACGCAACAAGACGATGTACATGCTGTTCTGCCAATTTGTGCGCGTCTTGCTCGCAGCGCATTGAGCCCCATAAGACGTCGTAGTATTCTGTGACTGTGACGACCATTTTCCTCTGATGATTCTCCAGTCATCAACATACGAAACATCAATGAATTGCTCAAGACGTTCTCTCCGAGGTCCTTCCGTGTTCGCCAATTCACGTGAGCCTAGAGCCCCTGGTCGCGTCCGCAAGCGCCGAACTCTGATCATGTGAAGTAGACCTACGATCTCAGCTCTGCTTCACCCGATTCTCGAGACATGGGGAAGTTGGCGTTCAATCCGTCCAGCGATCGGTCTCCGTCTGTATTCGGAGTAGTCCGATTCTCGAATCTGGGACCATCCGACTCAGCTTCGAAACCCAATGAGAAAATTACGACGAGTGGACGGGTGTCATTTGGCTTTGAATTTTCAATCTTTGTTGAAGATAACCCGGAGGTAGAGCCAGCTCCTCGCTTAGGGTGCCCAAGTACCTGAGAGAGAGGGGAGGTTATTTTGTTGTCCTCCTTCCCGTCGTCGTTTCCAGGACAAATTAGAGGCCTCCATCTAGGTCGCGTCTCTCCCGAGGGGAAAGATGAACGAGTTCATGCTCGGGAAACTTGCATTGTCCCGGATTTCAATACATACCTGGATGTTTTCAATTGAATTGGCTGGGATGCCTGATAGGCCGGTGAAAGAGGTTTCAGAGGCGTCAATATCGGAGCTTCTGGTGAGAAAGTCAATCCTTGTACCGCAGCACCCACCAGGGTCGCTGGGATTAACGCCGCCATTGCACCCGGTTTCGCTGCATTGCTTTCGTGTATCCCTCCAGCGAAGAACATCACGTCAGGCTGGATGATTCCAGTCGCGTCTTGTACTGAAATCATAATCGAGTTTCTCTGTGAGTTTTTCTTTCGTACGGTCTTGCGCGTTCGAGGGGAACGATCGACGGTAGCCTCCATGCGACCCTGATATCTCATTCTTTCAATACTTATAATGACGTGTCTGACGAACTCTCGAGGACGTGAATTTTCCGACGCCCGTCCTCGGAGTCCGGGCACAACGCCAATGAATGTGAGACAGTCACCAATAAATCGTTCAACCGCGCGATTCGTGTCGCTGTGGAGGCAGATGAATTCATGGAAAGGGCGCCTCGAACTCGTTTTCGGAGACACGCAAACTTCACCGAACAGCGAGTTAGTCACGGGAAGGTCAGCTAACGGAACTTCGCTGCGACTTTAGCGGTTTGAGATCCAAAGTCAGCCACGTCCTAGGGTTTTCGAATCATTTAGTTTCTGAGCTCTGGTAGCCCCCTGAATTTTGAGGCGAGCGGTTGCTTTTCTTAGACCAAAGCAAAAAGTTGATTGTCGAGATTGAGCGAGATTCTCAATCATGAGGCCGTCATCACGGAAAGGCTAGACCTCGGTACGCTGATTTCCGCCGTTTAGAGCATAAGCTTTGTCTCCATTGAAAACATCAATTCCCAATAATTTAATCCTGTCTCGGACTGACTAATTCCATGTACAATGGGAAAGCAACCGAAACTATCTGCGGGGAAGTAGTTTGCTCTAGACGTTAGTTTTGGTCGGGTAGGAGCAGTGGCCTTCACGGGGTGCGCTGCACACCTACTCGGAGCGCGTAGGTCCGTATCGAGAGTGAGAGAAGTCTCAATCCGCTCGAAAATGTCAGTGGGCTGTTCCCGGCCTGAGCCCGTGCTGATAACGTTGTAACAATCGGTCTCGGATTTGGGGCGAGTCGATTTCTCCGAGCCAACGATTTTTCCGTGGTAAAATCCTTGACCGATTTCCCTGTCTTGAAGCTATTCATAGCTCCGCAATCGCGCCTACAGTCGATCCGAAGTCCGACACTAGATGAGCGAAGGAATCTCAGAGTGTGTTCCTCTGATACCGAGTACCTACACCTGCGCTCCTCTTTCCGACGATACGCCCACCGATGACAGGACTGGGCGGCCCGGGCATTAAGCCGGGGGAAAGCCGCTGCTGATTAGAAATGCTTCGCTACTTCCTCGATGACCCGACGGAGTCCCTTCTCGGCTTTGATCGCGTAGCTTTGTACTTCATATTGTCCCGTTATCTCAAACACAGAAAACCGCGCAGATGTAATCGATCTCAACCCTCTGTCCCTCAGTGCGGCTTTGGGAAGACAAACGCTCCATCTGTCGCTCTCACGACTTTTTGATTCATCAAGAATATCAGCGGATATCCGGAGAATCGTCCGTCTCAGCTAGATCTTCGAAAATTCCGTGAATACTGAGGCACAGCAACATCGAATTTCCCATGGTGTGGCGGCTCACGATGGGGCTCACATGCAAGACTTTGCAAAAGCCCGTGGATTCTTGAGCTCTGCTTGCACGCTTCGAGTTCGTCCTTCTCCCCCGAGTTATCGACTCGGACAGCGAAGCACGCAAGGCTCCGGAACTGTACGCGTCGATCCGAAGTCCAAATTCACCGCAAACTCAGCCAGATATAACTCCGACAAGGCTCATCGGCCGGGTCGCTGCATTCGCCGCGACAACTCGGATCAGGCGGGCTTGTCAAAACCATCATATCATTGGTAATGCATTCGCCGAGGATCTCGACAGGTCGAAAAATCCTTCGGCTGATACATGAGCGGTCAAAACAGATTTGCCGTGATTACACCCACCCCCCTACGGAGGAAATTGTATTGCTCCCCAGAAGGCGCTGCGGCAGTCCTGCTACGAAAGTGCTCCCCCAAGGAAGAATATTTTTCCTCAAAGTATCGAGATATGGTCGCGGCTCCTTGGCAAAAGAGCTCGGCGGGACCAGAACCATGCCACTCATCTACTAGATCTCTCGAACTGTGGTGTCTAAGAAACATCTTAATGACGTTGGATCAGAGAGATTCTCGGAGCTGGGAAGGCATGCTGGAATCGGATCAGGAGTCGGGACGGATGCTTCCTGAATATTCTCGGTTCACTATGCAACAGACAGAATGAAACGGGAATACCAGACTATGATACGATCCTGATCAGCTTGAGCTTCCGGTCACCGAACGGGTACGGGGAGAAGTTCGGGCTCGATTCCCGGAAAGACAGAAGGAAGGCGAGGATGAGTCTCCCAGCGGACGTGGGTGGGGAAGCTCCGCTAAGACTCACCTGCGGTCTTGAGTGGAGGAGCTCGAGGAATCTGTTTGCCCATTTTGAGGACGAGGAGTCTGCTTTGACGTCTGCAGCAAATTACGATTGTGGATGTTAATATGACTAGAGAGAACGAGGCCATGGCTAACGCAGACCAGAAGTGTAGAGCGGACAGCTGAGAATGGGGAGCGAGACCCACGCCATTGCCCCCAGTGTCCCCCGTGGCCTGTCCTGCACCATGACCTCCTCCCAGCGGGCCCGCCGGTGCCACCCCGACGATTGCGCAGCAATCCTGAAATGGGAGCGTGTCAGTTTTCAGTTGGTATCAATCAAGAGCAACGATGGTTTCGCCAGATGCAGAAGAGATATCATGTGGCAAGCTTTTGCTGTCCAGCTACCTAAGCTGGGTTCGGGGACATCCTCGAGGTCCTTTCCGAACTGTCGATTGGTCAGGCCCTTTTGTTACGATTATAAAGGGCGCAGAGAATTTCTCAATGCCCACAGAGTGTCATTCCAAGTCGTACTTGTTGATTCCTTGAGTAATCGGATTCTACGGGGAAGTTTCTCACTCCTCGGTGAGTTTCATCGCTCACATGCAAAGCTTGCGGCAGATCTCATGGGCCATTTCCTTACTTTTTTAATGCATGTCTCTGCAGCGCTATTCGGATTTGTTCATTTCTCCAGAAAGACCTAGCCCAGGATCGGACGAGAATGTACATGAGGTCCTTCCCACATCAATGCGGTTGCAACAAGGCGAGGACTCCTTTCGGGCTGGATAGTACTTCACAGAACGAGCTCAAGGCTTCAGAAAGAGTTTTCTGATGAGCCGTGGTCTTGCGGAGTTCCGCGGAGGTTTGCCACAGAGGCGGAAACCACCGCAGAGACACCAAGAGCCTCCGAGAGATCCTTACAGTATTCAGTGGTCACACGGGTAAAAAGGAGCTCTTTCAATAATTCTGGATCGCCGTTGGTCTGGAATCGATCAAAGTTCAACTGTTGAGAGAACTTATATTCACGGTAGCTTGTCAAGCTCCGTTTCCTGGCATCTTCTCTCGGAGCGGCTGAAGCGAATTCGGAGGATTAAACTTCGAGGAGGGTCTTTATAAGATATCAGACAAGCGCTCCATAGATTCGCTCTTGAGGGGTCTGGCGATCCCCTGTCAGCGGAGCCTAGACTGGCGTCTGCAGAAAATCACATCGCCCAACGATGATGGATTCACGCTTCCAGTCCGCATTCCATTTCCGCATCTGAGCGATGATCGATCTAAACTCCAGACAAACTTATTGAGTGTTCTTCCCGAGCCTCCGTGGGCGATAAAGCAGTTTACGAGGATTCCATCGATATCTCGGAAAGAATCCCAGAGTTGGGACTCTGGACTCTATAACCTAATTCCTCCCACGAACTTCTTGCGTACGGAGATTTCAGTGTCATCAGTTTGTATGACGATGCAGCGAAACATCTCATACCAAGCGTTGTCATCACCCGTTGCCCATATTTTCCGGCAAGCACGCTGATTGCGGCGTGATTGAGCAAGGAGATAAGTCCACAGCGCTCCTTGCGAGTACCAATAACGATGGCTCCAGAAGCCCCCGAGAGACTGGCAAATGCATTCGAAAACAACTTACTACATCAGACGCCGGCGGATTGTTCCTAGAACCGCGCACGTATCTTGTCGCATGGTTTCACTCGAGTAGGGTGTCCACTGCGAGCCGCAGCCAAATCGCAACTGACTGCCGGGCTTTCAGGCTCAGAGCGCGCGTACTCGTCGGATCATATGCTTGCATTTCCATGGTGATACTCTGTAGAGGGTAACGCAGATCGTGCCGTGCTTTCTGTGCGCAGGACGACAGGACACTGCCGATGATCAATATCGATCACGTCATGGCTCTGATAAGTTCGAGTCGAGAACAATTACGTCAACCTAAAGTCGCTCAACCTCGACAAACAGCTCTATCTATTAGAAAGATGACTGGAACTCAGTTCGTCGGAATTCGAAGATTTTGTCCAAATCTCAAAAATCATCCATCGAGGAACATCTCTAATAAGGCTCACGACGGCACCCGCTCCGTCGAGAGGGAGGAGGGGGTAGCCAAATAAAATTAAGCGGTGATGATTCTGAGACCCCCTATTCGATTCCTCCGCGTTGCTGCTGGGGCTGAGGGTCCTGAGCCGTCGCGTGTGGGAGGGGGGAACGACCTCTGATTCTACACGAGACATAGATGCATGTTGTTTGTGGCATCGGAAAAGTTTCCTCAGGCGACAGAGGATGACCAGAGTGGGCGGACATATTCAACTCGCCGGGATTCACGGTCGAGTGGATTTGCAGCGGTTGGAAATGTACGCGAATCGTGTCACTCTCTCCGTGGAATCAGATCTCACGAAACGGAACCTTAGGGAGGAATTCCGCAACTTGTCGTTTTTTAGGTCGCCGCTCGATTTCTTGACGGAAACAGAGAACTGAAAGATCTAGGTCAATGATTACCTCAACCTTCCTGGTGTGTTGAGAACGAGTGTAGCTCGTCGAACTTGTCACAATGCCGATGCACGGTCGATTTGTCGCATATTTGCATAGGATGAGGTTTGACGGATGCCGATGATTCTGGCGTAGGAGGGGTCATCAGGCGAAAGCTTCCGCTTTGCCTCATGATTAAGGTTGCACAGACGAGACTCTGGGCGCAGAGCGACAGCTCCCTAATTCGTTTTTAGTACACTCCTAGTCCACCTCGGTGAGACGCACGCTTCCTCGAATGAATCGTCAATCGGATCGACGCTATCCGAGACTTCGGAAGAGTCCATCTTCCGACGAAACACTATTCCCATTAAGGTTCCGCGAAGGAATTCGCATTGTAGGTATGATGATCATATGTATAATGAAGCATCGTATTGGAAAAGCAGCACCCTCACAGGGTGCCCGATTGACGTTCCCCATCCGGTTCGGGGTTGAGGAGCAGTCCCCTAGCCGATCGAGCAATATTGCTCCTCGGGAGCTTGAAGCGAGTGGCAGCGATCGGTGGACTTCTTCCTGTTCGGAAGTACGCGAAAGAGCAAACAATAGGTCAATCAATTGCTCTCCGTGGAGCTTATTCGCTCCCGGCGGATTGCATAGATTGGTTCCATGCAGGTGGAATTCCAACCCATAGATTTCACATGATTCCTAATCTTCGGAACCCGCACAGGGAGCGTCGAAAACCCGCACAAAAGCACCCGCGGTCTTAGCCCTATGATCTTGAAAGGTCGATCCATGAAGAAAATCGACTCCACGATAGAGCGGACTCACTCAGATACGTGATCATGAATCGTCGTAGCTCCATATCAGAAAACACCTTTACTCGATTGAGGTCGGTTAATTCCCGCTCAGACGCGGCGGGTCAGTGTACGATGCTCCAGGTGACCGCAACGGGCCTAGAGACAGCATCAGCTGAGGACAGTCCTAGATCCTCTGGAGCGCGGCATGACCGTATTTGACCCAGTGGCCTCACAACGAAGCGAAGCGATGTCATGATGAGCGGTGTCTGTTGGAAATGGGCTGTTTACGCACCTCCACGTTATCGACTGCCATTTATGACACTTGTTGCTCTTGGGTTCGGAGAGGCGTGTGAAACCAGACACCTAGACACCGGGAAGCGGGCTCGGAATATATGGGATTTCCAGCACTTATGAGAGGAAAACCGCGTGGATGTCAGATGCAAGAATGACCTTAGAAGTTCCTGAAAGGAATATAGAGGAGCTGATGAAGTCGAACTAGGCGCTAGCGATAGCTGTTCAAGCATAAGCTATGATAAATTACGCTTCCCTTCTTCTCGACAGACTGGGACGAATTTCGCTATTTTCAATGTTTAAAACGAGTTCTCCCGCAGGATGTTCCGGTTTGAATTCGAAATGGAGAACGAGACCGAAAACGTCGAGCTCGAACCACCCGGAACCATAGATGACGACAGCGAAACCGAGTTGGAGCCTTTCCACGAGATCGGAATGATCTCAGAACTGCCCAAAGAAACGCCTGAAATTACCGAGCTGCTCGGTGTTCGGCATTTTTCTGACGTACTCAAAGAAGATGATCTCTACCACAAAACTGAAGCAGCTCACACGGACCTCATCCCGAAGGTAAAGTTCTCTAGATGAGTCTGACGGCGAATCCGTTCCCCTGACGAACTCAGCCGTGGCATTCGGTCGTTTTTCTCTCCGCGCGGGCGAATTTTCGTCTTACGCTTCACCCTTGAGAGTCTCAATTACAGGTCTACGAAGGAGGTTTCAAGGTTTGGGAATGCACGATCGACTTGATAAAGGTCCTTTCAAACCGTCTCGAGTTGATCAAAGACAAATGTATTCTGGATCTCGGCTGTGGAGCTGGACTTGTCGGCCTGTATTGCGCCGAGCATAAAGCCAGAGAAGTCCACTTTCACGACTACGTAAGTTCCGTCTAGCTCGAGGAGCTAGTCGCCCTGAGCGATCATGCGTATCCGTTCACCGATTCCATTTCCACTCACAATGAGAATACAACTGATTTCGGTACGATGTGGTTCCTCAGAGCATAGATCGCTTCCTTGCAGAACGCTCCCGTCATACGCCACCTCACCGCACCAAACTGCAAGCTCCTTCGGAACACAGATGTCAAAATTCGATTTTTCTGCGGTGATTGGGCGCTCTTCCAGGTGATTACCGAGTTATGATTATCATCACGATGACAATGCTCACAATTATTCGCGCGGACACTTCCGACACAGCTCTCTACCTCACAGCAAGCTGGAGCCAGACTGGGAAATTAATTCTATTGTGGAATTCACAGGCTCCGACGAAGTACGATATGATTGTCACGAGCGAGACCATCTATCGCCAAGAAAACTACAAATCACTTTTGGACCTTTTCACGCATTGTCTCAAACCTGGAGGTCTGGTGAGTGGGAATTCCCCCCGCCCCTGCAGTTTCATGTATTCGCTCCTGAGAATTCGTTCTCCCGCCCCCAGTCGACAAGAGGAGCAATCGCCCCAGTCCCCCCGCTAAGGGAGCACCGCTCCTGATTGAACGACAGAAGAGTGTCAGATAGGCTCCGATATGGACGACCCGTCAAAGAGATCCGCTCCGGATACGCGAGTAACTCATTCGCTTCGCCTCACAGGTGATTGTTGCTGCCAAGGCTGTCTACTTCGGAGTGGGCGGGTCCGTTCACGAATTCCAAGAGTTCTGCAAGCAGAGCCTCTGGAACGTGCAGACATTGTGGAAAGGAAACGCTGATGTTCCCCGTGAGGTGTTCGCTTTGCAACGGTAATCGCGGAGTAGGAGAATGGCTAACGAAGGTGGACATCGCCCGAATGCTTAAGTGTGGGTGGAACCCTCGCGTGACGCGTACTCTTTTTCCCTTTATAGAACACGCGTTTAGTACAGGGATGATTACTTCTCCGACAAGTACTTACATTATTGAATTGGGCTCTGGTTCGAGCAAAATGTCGTCATCCGTGTGATTTCCGGGCTCTCTCGAATAGGATGGGTCTGCGCGTTATCCTGAATATAATTTCACTCGTGAGTGTGAGCATGTGTGTACGTGATAGCCAGTTTCCGACCTTCTCTGGATGAATATTGTTAATGAATGAAGATCATCGGGTTCAGACGGCATGTGTCAGAAGTCGCCGGCCTGGCGTTACCGTTACAATGAAGCTGAAGATCTATCCGCGATTTAGTGTACATAACGAGAGCGTTTGATCTCATGATCAAGTTATGCCCTCCTCGGAAATGGGGCCCGATTCGGTCCTCGCTGATTAAGAATTCAGGACGGTGAGAGAGCGGACGACCTGATTCGTCGACATCATGTCTCGTATTTACTCATGTGTAATAAGGTCCCGGATCTACTGGCTCGGGCGGTAATGGATCGATAGGGGGAGCATCAGGTCTACTCGTGAATGAGCCGATGAGCATTTGGTTGATTTTCATCTGAGGCGGCGAGTCTAACCGGTGGGCTACCTTAAGACGGAGAGACACTATCATACGTGCATTGAGGTGAAACATCGATTTATGGATGTATACCAAACGAAATAATGGAGAGACCCCTATGTATAGACGATATTTGCTGTCTGGGATTCAGGTAGCTCAGATTCTTATACACCCAGGGATACGTCATGGATCACGCCGATGCCACGACGGTGAAGATGATATCATTCCTAAACGTCCCAAGTATTGTGGTTTGAAGCCTATAGTACCGCGGCGAAGAAAAAATAAATCCTCTGGCCCCTCCACCCGAATATCTGTGTCTTGAAGTAAGGGAATTCCAGATGGATGGTCACCTAAGAGCTTTTCTACGCCACCCTCTGACTTCCGGGTGCTGTACCCGCGTTTCGCGCCTTCTCGGGGAATTTGATAACTCGATGCGATTGTTGAAGTCCCATGTTTTATTCTGGTTTCAGTCATCAGGAGAGACATCAACCGTAATTTTTGTGTACAAAGGCGTTCTTTGATGAGATAGGAGCTTGTATTTGAGATCGATGAGGCCGTCGCTCTGCCATCTCGAGGAACTGTCAGCCAACAAATCGAATCGTTTAGGATTAGGATTTGCTTTCTCATGAACCAGAGCCGTGTACCTGAAACAGGCCGTCGTCGGATATCGATCATGATCTTCTTCTCTCTTTCGACTTCGCACGACGAGTTTCGCTGAAGATCGAGGCTGGAAAGTTCCTGCGGGCATTGGGCAGACATTCTGGATTGATGATTTTCTTTGAACGGAGGGAATGAAAAAAATTGGGGTACCTCGAAATATCCGTTGACCATCGAGTGATATGGAGTTTTGCGGACTGAATCCGCAAGGCCAAGTCGTCATCCTCGGCACCCCATCCGAAGAATCGATTCGAGAAGCCATTGACCTATTGGAGATCGAAAATACTCATGAAAGTGTTCGCATACAATGAGTTACACATGTATGATGATCGCAGCGAGCAGATACCCCTTTCGGAGACCTCTATCAAGCGCATCGCGTACTTTCACGAAGTGGTCCTTCTGCATGGCGACGACTCCACCGAAAATATCGGCATACGGCACGACGTAGCGGAATGTATCGATTGCGACGCACATATGTCGAGGATGTTTGCTACACGCGTACAAGTTTCGCGGGTTTTCCGGGAGGAGGTCTACGTCGTGGAATATGAAACAGCAGTAATCCATGTCTCTCAGGGCTTCCTTGAAGCCGATATTCATCAATTTCCCTCGATTGAATTTATGTCGTTCGCTCTGCTCCACGACATATATCGAATAGTCGATGTTCTGCTGCGGCAGGAATGAATGCATGTGGCGCAAAAACACATCGAGGTGTTCCGATCTGTTCCGGAAGGGGACGATGATCGCCGTCCGGAAAGCGGACTCGCATCCGGAAGCACGAATCAACGGGAACCCGCTCTGATTGTAATGCCCGTGTAGCTCGCGCTCGAGCTGGGTTAGCACGCTCTCGTCGAGCACCCGTTTGATTAGCATGGACCCGGGAAGCGCAGATGACAAGGGGCACCGACCAACCAACGATGCGCATGAGACCAGATCCTCTTCGGGACTCGAAAATACGACGAAGCGGCCGGTGGGACACCGTAGAGCCAAGAGGAAGAGGGAGACGGCCAGAGCCATCATCCACTGCTCGCAGGAGAGCATCCTCAGCGATTGACATTTCGAAGATCTCATACCGGTGCGACTAGCTCCGCATTCAGAGTTTCGCAGACAGCTGACTGGGAGATCCGATCACAAACATCGCACACGAAAAATAATCTGAGGTCCAATCACACGTGGAATGAGCCACCTGGATCCTCTATCACAGTCTCCGAAGAATTCAGTGAGCATGGAACATGAGAATCAAATACGAACAGTACAAGGCTCGAAATCTAAGAACAAAAATTTGACGGGGGCTCCTCATCTGTATCGCGAGGAGGAAGGCGAGCCCGCCTCCGGTGCCGGACCGAGCGAATTTGTCATCGGACTCGACAGGAGTACGGCCGTTTCACTGAATGGAGGAACATATGCTGAGGGTACAGTCTCGAAGAGATTCAGACTCCCGACAAGGAGGGATAGTCGTAGAGATATCGCGCGCGGGGACCCTCGAACGAATGGAGTGTCGGTGGAAATCGAATGCCATGGGTGTCCAATGATGACGGTGATCCAAGCAGACGGGCTCAAGTAGTGAGGGCGGTTGTCGAGTCGCAGCAGATCCGCAGTACGAAACGACCCCTTGGAAAGTTTCGGCACTCATCTGCTTCTTCAGACGAGACAATCGAATGTTTCCTCCCCCATGCGAATCCTCTGCGAGTCACGCTGTCGCTCGACTATTGCACTGGCAAGGCATCGATCAACGAGCGTCGAGATTGCTTGGATTGCCGAACTGTCTCCTTTGTTCTGTCATAAGGGAGAGATCTCCCGTAGATATGTATCACGGAGGATCATCGCCCCTCAAAGACACGGGCGGATCTAGGGATCCTCCAAGGGGGCGGACAATGTATCGAAGAAGGGGCGGATTGGTGCCTAGTGCCTAGGTGCTCAAACATACGAAATTATCGGCAGTCAGCGCTCTCGAGGGAGGGGGGTGCGACTAATTGTAAGAGGTCGAACGCCGTCACGACTCCTCGTTCCTATAGATGAATGTACCAATCGCCCTGGCAAGCCCTTTCGTTCTCACGGAACATCACAGGCAGATGCGAAATCCGCTCGCGAACTCCACCAGGTTCAAACAGAGATCATCAATATCATTGTGTTCGAATTCAGCTTTTTCTTCAAACTTGTGCTGCCTGTGCCTCCAAACTTCGAACTCGGACCGAGTCTCTCTTCGTCTCACAATAAATCGTTTCTCGGAGATTCGATTGAGCTCTACACAGAACCATGGACATACTGAGACAGGAAATCGAGAAACGGAGAAAGCTTCTCGAGGAAACTGAACTAGTGGTGAGGACAGCAAACTCCGAATTTCTCTTGCGCATTGAAACATCTGGGGTGAGACCGGAACCGGTACTACACGCTTCGTGCCATGAAGATGAGTCGAGAATCAGCGGATATTCATTCCCATCCGCTCCGGTGACCAACTCACCCTTGTCAATCGTCTCAAAGTCAACTGTCAGAAATGAGGTTCCCTCTCAAGCTCCGCGACTGTGTATATCTGAGCTTAGATGATTTGACATTGATCTGAGGTTCCCCTTCCTCCGCGTCCAGTGTGCTCTCTTGTGATTCTGCTCAGTCATTGCGTCTTTCATGTTGCGGCCCGCTTGATAATCACTCTTCTCTCGCGGCAGCCGATGAGCTAGAATCTCGCCGCAGGAACCGAAGTCTCATCGGAATCATTTCGAATAATAGACTAATCATTCATTTATTCAAAAGACTCATCACGTTCCGAATGACTGTGCACCGCCGTGCTATAGATGCATTAAATATCCTGTATGGTTTTTTCCAGGGTCCAAAGAAGAAGTTCTTTAAGCGGAGCGAGTTGATCCAAAAACAGAGAGATGAGTACACGTCGGAGTTGAGAGAAAAACCCTCCGAAGAGGTGAGTGCGGCTTCTGAATCCTCATCGCCGGTTTACTTGGCCAGGTCGATCATTAAGCGGAGCTTACCCCGTACGGGCATCTTTCCAGGAGGAGGCGGCCGAGAAAGATCAGAATGAACCGAAAGCGTCCTCCTCCAAAACTGCCGGAGGCGACGAGCAAGTCCTCGCGAGGAAAGAAGTCATGAAGCGCTTGAGGTACTGATCGAGAGACGTTTCCCTTTTGAAGATCTGATAGAACCGGAAGCAATGGCGAGAAGTCGAACGACCGAGGAATGTCAATTGAGCAAGCACATACGCTAACCGCGACTTTTTCTCGCAGAGACCGCAACCAGCCTATTCTTCTGTTCGGCGAAAGCGAAATCGAGGCATTCCGGAGACTCAGGAAACTCGAAGTCCAGGAGCCGGAGTTGGAAAGAGGTTTCAGGAACGACTTCCAAGAAGCAATGGAAAAAGTGGACCAAGTTTACTTGCAAGAACTACTGCGAGACGGGGACCAGAAGGATTCGAAAAGTCGTCACGATGTGGCGATAAAGGACGAGGGCATGACGCACGAAGAAATGTTGGTGAGTGCAAACCATTAATTCTTCAGGCCGAGGAGTCGGACTCCTTACTGTTCTGTGGAGACGCTTCGCAGCCTCCTCTCGATCGATGAAATCAAGTTCCATGTCTTACCTTCCAGCAAATCGGATCGAGACTCGGCCAACCTTCGAATAAAAGCAATGATTGCTCCGACATTCTGAAAGTTTTGAAGTACATCCAATACCTCTGGGGTGATCAACTGAATCAGAGGCCGTTGGAAGAGAAAGCATCAATGAAAGGTCGACTGGTATCAGCCACCTACTCTCAAACCGGTGAGTAGCGGGGAGAATCAGATCGGACAATCATCGGCATTCGCCCAGGAGTCATGGCGAGCTGAAAATACAACTTTCCCTCCAGACTCCTACCTCCGGCCTCTGTTCAAGTTACTAGCGAAAAACAGCTGCCCGGAAGATATTCTGGAGCATCTGATAATAATCGTTGTTCATCTCACCGAAAGAAACTACGTCGCGGTAAGTTCATGACTTCGTGACTTCCCTCTAAACTCGTTGTCGCCTTTCCTCCTTCAGTTCCATTCCTGCTCTCGCTCTTCTCAGATACTCTAGGATATCTCATGGCTTCGGCTGATTGTATGCATTTTCTTCCTGAAGGCAAGCGACGCCTACCTGCAAATGGCAATCGGGAATGCGCCTTGGCCGATCGGAGTGACCATGGTCGGTATTCACGCTCGAACCGGTCGCGAGAAGATTTTCGCCCAGAACATTGCCCACGTTTTGAACGATGAAACTCAGCGAAAGTACATCCAGGCGCTGAAAAGATTGATGACGCAGTGCCAAAAGCTGTTCCCAACCGATCCCAGCAGATGTGTAGAGTACAATGCATAGATTCAAGCATGCTGTAAATATCTTGAAAGCGTTTGAAAATGTAAATAAAATCTCGAGATGATTGTGTAGATCAGTGTTTCCCAAGAGTTTTCCCCAATGACCCACATCTGGACTCGACAAAGACCCCATGGCCCACGACAAAACACACTCATGCTCCACACTCATGTCAACACTAATCGTATGGACGAGAAAGAAGCATAAAAGCATCCTCTTATCCACGGATTCTCGGACGGAGAAGTCCCCGCCCGAATTCAGCTCCCGGTGCATCTCGCGATGAGTCTTGAATCGATAGTATGAAAGAGTCCGGAAGTCCCGTGACCCACTTGGGAAATCGCCGTGACCCACTTGTGGGTCACTTGCCCATACTTGGGAAACACTGGTGTAGATCCAGGCTCATCCACCTCAGGCAGCATCAGCCTGTCAGTCAGAGCAGATATGATTGGGGAGATGAAGACAATGAGCGTTTCCAGTGTGATTCTCGTGGTACGCTCTGTCGCCGTCGTTCGTTGGAGGTCCGATGGAGCAGCCCCTTTCCTCCGTCCCTCGCCAAAATACAGTGGAATTCATTCTTCTCCAGTGAACCTTACCCATCCGACTGGCCGGGGATCCGGATCTTAATACATTCGGGGAAGCCTCGGCTATCATTAACGAGCCCTGTGCACCGCCCAATCTACGGGCTGGATAAGAATTAGCACCTCGCGCTCTGGTCCGTCGGAGGCACTATTGCAATCCGAGGCGGGGGTGATCCCCGAACTCACCGGCAGATCGAAACGTTTCGCTGCGAGCTCCAAGCCGAAGCACCGCTGCCTCGAGCAAGTCTTGAATCACGAAGCCTTTGCGCATCGTTTAACGAAAGTCGAAGTGGCAGAATATAATCTCCCCGGTATACAGCTTGCTCACCATGCTAATCGGTTCCCACGTCACTTACAAAGGGGGGTATGACTATCAGCACACTTTCTATTGTGCGTTTCCCCTTCGCTTTTGTAACCTTCGATCGTTTTCCGGAGCAGGCGTCCGCATCGCGCGCAGTGTGCACGTCCATCAGCGGTAATGACCATAATCCTCAGTTCTTGATGTATGTTCGCCCTAAAATATGCTAGATCGTAGCCCCGAATCACATCCGTTTTCGTAAGCATTCGGCACGATAGTGTTTTCGAAGTTTGAGAATTCGTGTTTCGGAGGGGAATCGATGAGGATTGAAGACTTCTGGCAGTTCCGTGGGGAGGCTTTTCCGCTGCTGATTTTCACGTCTGCGGCTAAGTAAGTGCCCCATCAAGATCACGGTGCCACACCCGGATCACGAGTAGTGTTCACGTACTACCCTGCGGGAGTAGATCAGTGTCAGTAATGATTTTCCACGAACATTTCACCACGATCGCTCATACGAGCGGAAGGGGATCGATTCTCATCCGAAAAAGCTGAAAACGCAAGGATCAACCGGCGAAGGAGCAATGCCTCCTTCTGCTGCGATATACGGTGGTGTTTCCATTAAGAAACCATGTGAACTGTGACTGCGAGGAGAGATTGATTTCAAGCTGAGCATGATAATTAGGCGAGTCACGACATCGTAGTTTACGACTTCATCACTCAAAGCGTTTCACTAGCAATGACAATCGATAAACACATTAGTAAACGGATCACGGATCGCCTAATCTTCGGCGCTCATTCTTGCTATTCACGACCTACATCTGCTCAGACTGAGCTATCCATGCGCCTCCTGTAAGTAATTTCATTCATCTAGGTGACCTCGAATCCGTGAGAGATATCCACCAAGTGACCATTTGCTCATCACTTGAGTCGTCGCGTGCCGTCATTTCGATTTTTTGCGACCCCGACAGAAGCCCCCGCAGGTCGGATATCTTCAGGAAACTCGAAGCTTCTGATTGAGTCGCGGCTCTTGGCCATTTGGTGTGACCATTTGAGAAGAGAAAATGCCCCAGATCCCTCAGCGATAGGGAATGTGCATCACCGTGATTCTTCTCCTACAATGTGAGTCCGTCATCTTCGGGCTCTGACGTAACGGGTATAGCGGAAGACCAGAATCAAGTTCATCGACTAGGGAATACCCCTTCTTCGCGTATATACTTCCAGAATAGTTCAGTGATTCTGCGAGTCAGTCGACGCTATTGAACCCAATGAATGCAAGATCCCGACTTCCTATTCCAAGTTACGCTCAATCCCGATCAGGAGCGGCAGCTTTCAATATGACTCGAAGTTCAAGGTTCCCCCTCCTTGCCTCCTTGGCATGTGTTATAGGTTACAGTTCCATCGGAATCGAGAAAATGGCACTCTACAGGACACACAGAAAATCGCGGAACGCTCAGCTCCCAATTGAGTCCGACGGTGGAGTTGATTTATCGTTGTTGTTCAGTCCATACTCTCGAGTCGCAAATCTCTCACGACACTCGATGAGCTCTCTCTCCGCCTAGGTATCCTGCCGGTGGAAACAATCCGGCTTGGTCTATGATGGTTATCATGAGGATTTATGGTTATTGTGTGACTTACTGGATGATACGAATTTCAGAGGGGGGGAGCAAGATGAAGAAGTTTCAGACAAAGCACTCATAAGTGAGATTCTATTTGCTGGGCAGAGACCCTTGGCCTTCCAGCATTGAACAAAAAGTCGCTCTTAGGTAACGGTACGGACTGAGTTTGGAAGATTCGGCAGAAGAGGAAGAGGGGAACACTTGAGCGCTTTTGTTGAACTTTCTCCATTCGGGTCTTCCGACGAGGTCACAGTCGGTAGACGTCTTAATTTTTTGACGTCCGTATTGTCTTCGCATAGTGCACGACGACACAGAATCACAGAGTTGGTCACCCGGAACTCCGCACAGGAGTTCCCCGCTCGTGACGATAATAATAATTTTGATGACGGTGATACCTGCATTGGACTTTCGGAAGAGAAACACTGACGAACAGTACTGCGTTCGGGTTTGTTCGTCATGGGACAAGCCCAGATAATTTCGCCATCCCCAGAAAGTATCGAAGACGGAAAAGCCTCGTTCGAAATTCACTCGGACACCGTTCCGTGAAATTGAGTCATCGGTGCGTGAGGCGATGGGAACTCCGACACCGAGTACGGTATAAACGCCTCGTATCAAATCGGTGGGAGCTCCAGCTTTCTCGACCTGAGCCCCCATTATGGTCTGAGAAGAGATCGGATCTCTCACTCACTCGATCACGACAAGTGGGGACGAATGACATTCTTAATAGGGATAATTATGAGGGCGGGAAAACCGACAATGGTGGTCGAGCTCGCTCCAGAGACGCGAATCCAAGTACCTACGTTGAGCACTCTTTTGATGGATGAATCCGGCTGGATCGATAAGGTCACCACAGCAACAGAAACGGGAATATCGAAAGTATAGATCGCTTCGCTTTTTTTCAGCGATTGCAAGCACGAGGAGGTATTTGTTCCGCGTAATGCTGTTCGGCCAGTTTCTTTATCCGCCCTCGACTTCGCCGTCCGACGCTATCCGACCAATCCGAGCCATTAGGCCCCAGCGTAATTCTGTGTACGGTTCCGCCGGACGGGTCCACCTCACATTAATCCTCCCCTTCCACCCTTGCTCTGTCGATCGTGACAGCGCCCACCACGCCGAACGGTGCAGCATTGCGGCGCCTCACTCGCAACAAAGCTTTGGATGCTTTTAACACTCGTTCCATTGCACATTCGTCCTTGTCGCTGTCAACTTCTCAAGGCAGATCTCGATCGGAATTTTTTTCTGGAATTATTCTGCGGCTTCTTTTGTGTCTTTGAGATCGCATAATCATTGTCCAAAAAAATTCCGCCTCCAATTTTTCCTCACTGTCCATTATGAAACTCCGTCCGATGGGAACATTTGTCAATGAACATTCGATCGGTAAACACGTCCTGTATTTCATCTGGTGGGAAAATAGATTGCGGAGCCCTAATACGAGATCGATTGGGGAGGAGGAGCTCCACTATCTCGGATCTAGGAAACGATGGGACGTCAAGGTTCTTCCTATGCGCTGTCGATACTGAGGATTGCGAGCTGGATCATCTATCGTCGACTGAGTATTCACAATGGATAGCTTGGACCGTCCAACGCATCCTCCTCGCTGGCTGGACCTTAAATCACTTACTCCCTCTTCGCTCGATCTACGGTCATTCTCTGGGCCGATCCACATGGAATTATTGACTATACGAGGTGGCCTAGCATAATTCAACTTGAACCATGGAAGCTGAAGGAATGTGAATCCGTTCTAGCGGAGGTGGTTTCTGCAAACCCTTCCAATCTTATCGTCAACCCTTGTGTCTTCATTCTCGTTCGTGCCACTAACCACGTTCTACGTCCGTGGACTTTCTGCATTGCGAATGCTCCTGCCAACCATTCGGAATCGCGCGAGATTCCATTGTTTGGATAAATTCCATCTGTATCGTTTGCCCGAATCACATACCGTTTATTCTGATTGGCATTCGCGCAGCTCGTTGCGGTATTTCGGCACTGATCTCATCAGCGAGCGATGAGTTTCATCCACGGATGTTCAGATGCTTTGCGGGGAAAGATCCGTTCCGACTAAGTCATCTGACGAGTGAACATGGGCTTCCTTCTACAGGATAATTATTTCCCACTAAATGTTCGAAATTCGATCAATCGCGAATCACCAGCAGACTGATTCTAATACATCATGTTTCCTTAGGCCCAGGACTTTCGAGTATCTTACTCATCTTCGTTGACCTGGATGAAGGGGAAAATGTTTATCCAGGCCCAGGAGGTTCATATGGAAGCATTCATCGCCGCCGCGATCGTGCAGAGCGCTTCCCGAGCACCTTTTCGCAAGCGGAACTCATATCCGGAGACGACGTTCAGGGCTCTCTGATTTCGGGAACTCCCGAGCCTCACGACTTACGAGCACGAGTTCGCCACACGGCCGCCTGGAGTCCCTCGGCGACAGGGTTTTCTCCCACCGCTTGAGGTCGCCTCAGAAATTCTTTGGAAATCACGACGAATCCACCGTTGCTGATCCATCCTCCGGAATTCGACTTCAGGCAC